TAGTCGACTAATCGTGGCAGCCCTATTGTAGATGTCAATGAATTAAAGAGCTGATTGCTCAGAGTTACTGGCAGAAGAACGTTTTTCCAGGTGCTTACCAGAATGAGCAGGCAGTAGGAGGAGAACTCCTGATGAGCCGGGATGGTGGAGAACACAGAGAGGACCAGGCAGCTGAAGACCAAGACGAACCTGAACAAAAACACAAAACTGGAGTCAAACAGGATGACATCAATGGGCTGACCTCATCCACCACACTGACCAAACCCTCATTTCCACTGGTCCCAAACAGGCTGTGCACTGAAGTGGAATTGTTCCTCTGTGACAAACTCTTGAACCCATTCTGGCAGCGAAGGAAGAGCAGCACACCAACGACCTGGCAGCGCGATCGCACAATTATTTCCTGTCTGCAGTGAACAGTGAGCCCGACCATTATTCAATTTCCTGAGATATCAAGTTAATCATGCTTGTTTGTGCAACATGGTTCGCAAGAAACAAGCAGTGAAACTGCGGCTCTTGGAAAACAAGCAACATCCGACCACTTCCACACTCCCGACTGTCGCTCCCTCCGCCAGGAAACCGTAGCTTTCCATCTTCATTGTTGTGTTTTGTTTTTCCATCACACAAAGCTTCCAAAATGAGAAATATGAGTGCAGCCTTTAGAGCTACAGTGGCTCCTGATGTTAAATGGTGAGAGCACATCTGTGTTTTATCATCTCAGTCTGCTGCACAGGCCCGTCTGACACGCAGTGTGTGTGTTTTCTCTTAACTATTGTGCAATGACAGCAACACAGCCCACTTCATGTTACACAGTCAGAATGAGGTCTTGTTTTTAGGCCTCTGAGGTTCGCTACAACTCATAAACACACCTTTAATTACAGAATTTCAGGTGATTATTTACACCCCTGTTGAAATCCAAGCAAAACCCCCCACTGATACAGAACTGAAAGCAGAGGCACCTTCGGCTGTCCACGATAAAACCGGGTTACATTTATGAAAAGTATCCACAGTTTACTGCTTGATACAGAATAAACGTCTTTATTGAATTAACTGTGTTTATTGTATATATTACAAACTGTATATATTACAGGCAGGATCAAAGTCAGAGTACCAGAAATGACATTTGGGGCGATCGTGGCTCAAGAGTTGGGAGTTCGTCTTGTAATTGGAAGGTTGCCGGTTCGAGCCCCGGCTTGGACAGTCTCGGTCGTTGTGTCCTTGGGCGAGATACTTCACCCGTTGCCTACTGGTGATGGTCAGAGGGCCCGGTGGCGCCAGTGTCCGGCAGCCTCGCCCCTGTAAGCTACATTGTAGCCACAGCCACCCTGGCTATAATGTAGCTACAATGGCTGTGGCTACAATGTAGCGTAGCTGCCATCACCAGTGTGTGGATGGGTGGATGACTGGATATGTAAAGTGCTTTGGGGTCCTTAGGGACTAGTAAAGCGCTATATAAATACAGGCCATTTACATTTAAGCAATAAAGATGGATTACAGTGTGCAAGACCTGTTTGAAAGCCTAAGCAGCTGAGAGATGAAGGTTGTGGTCGAATAGTTGGAATAATACCAAGGAAAGACGCTTCCTTTATTACCTCCTCCAGCTAAGGACACAGTGGATCATCCTTCATGAAGGGAAATGAGATACATGATTGAGTGGTTCAGGAAAAAAAGGATATCAGTGTGAGTACCAAATGAAGTAGATTGTAGTTATAATTATATTCTGCATTTGCCTGCTAATATGTGGGTGTTTGAACTTTAAACAATGATCAAAGTGAAGTGACGGCTGGAGTTTAGCTGCCATCAGTAATTTCACATCAGGTAAAGATCCATCCATTCATTTTTATAACTGTTTATCCAGCTCAGAGCTGTTGGGATGCTGGAGTCTATCCCAGCTGTCATTGAGGGACTCGGGTCTCCAGTCTATCACAGAGCCATCCGTCCTCGCCTGCAGCCAAATTACAATCACCAATCAAACACAAGCTTCAAAAAGAAAGGCTTCCTCTCACGAACTCTCCTTCACGTCTTGATGTTTTACCTCAAAGTCAAGGAAAACACACGGGAGAGAATCTTTTGAACTATTCAGCCTCAACCAGCAACTCCCACGGGTCTGCCTCCCTGCGTCCGCATGTACTCAAAACTCATACGTAGCGTCTACGACGGATCCTGGTTAGATGCTTCGCAGACTTCAACAAGTCATTTCAGCCCTTTGTCAAAATACCAGAGTCAGCTTTTTCAGTCAGGATGGGACTGATCCAGATATCAGATCGGTGCATCTCTACATCTCCAGCATAGAGGCACTTTGGTGTTATTTTAACCTGGAAACTCACAATCCACTTCCACTTCCATTCTCAGTCACAGAACAGTCACCACTGGATAAGCCGATAAAGACTCCGAGCTGGCAGCGGACTGACTTTTAAAACAGCTTTGCGTGCTACTGGAATTTGAAAAAGGTTTTTCACATTACAATCCATTTCCTCTAGGAAAAATATCATTTCTGGCAATCTGACCTTGGCCCTACCCACAATGCAGTTTGTCCCTGTGCACAGCTGTACCGAAGCGGAGACTGGGGACTCCTTCCTATGGGCCCCTCGTGCCAAACTGACCCCAGATTATCACAGAGTTGAAGGGAAGTCTTTCAAGCTTGTCTGCCGGGCCCATCAGGACTACTTGCAGTGTTTGAATGGTGCCTGTGTGAAAATAGTGGGTGTGCAGAGCAGGTCACACTCCCATACCCCACAGAACAGTACAGGACTGTGCTGTTCTGTTCTGTTCTGACCCCACTTGGGCCCTCGCCGACATGCAGAGAGCCAAAACGAAGGTCAGGATTTTCCACAGCCTCGGGGATGGTTATGTCATCATTTCTCGACCCATGAGTTCTCCTCCTGCTCTGCGACAGGCCTCGCAGAGGAATGAAACGAAAAGCAGAAAGTATCGAAAGTTTGAGGTTTGCACTGTTGACATTTCCAAAGATTTGAAGAATGTGCTTTTGATTGGAGGAAAACATCTAGTGACAAGCATTGTGGTGCTGTCAGCTGAAGCACGAGCTCCTTGTCAGTGGCACACCTACGCCTCTCGCACTTACAAGGTTGTCAGACCGAAAATTATAGAGTGACAATCAACTCCCTTCATCCGTAGCCTAACTCGTGTTTCCAGTTTGAATATATTTACTTTAAAAAAGAGGGGGAGGGGGGGGATGAAGTGAAAAGCCCTGTGACAGCATCATTATGTTCTCAATGAGGTTCACTAATTAATCCCACAAAGTGAGGCTCTCGGACGGCCGTGGCCCCCGTGTGTCACGATGCCCTGCACTCAGAGCTGAAGGATTCATCTGGAGCATCTCGTTCAGAGCTCCCAGCAGAGCGATCGCTCTTAACCTTCCAAACAACACTGACTGAAAATTAAACTGGCGAACGCAAAGATGGAGAGGTACGTCCTTCCACCTACTCACCCTCCACCTCCCCTGCGCTCGCACGGAAGCCCAGCATCACGGAACAAGTGGTGAGCGCTGCTCTGATTAGCATAATTTAATTGATTTGTCTGCAAAATGAGCTCCAAAACTAATGATATCCGCAAACTGCAATGGTATATTACAGCTCATTATCACTCTGAATTTGATTGGCAGACATTTCTCCACAGTTATCTGTCATCTTGGATGATAGGAGGGTAAGGAGAGCGGGGCAGTACATGGCTCTGCAGCGAGGACACAGCTTTCACCAGGTGAGCTGCAGGGCGCTCCTGAATGGTTTTTTTTGCCAGAAAGTCAATAAAATGACTTTGATGCAATGCAAAATGCCACAAACAGACAGCGAGACACAAAATCATCACAAAAACATGCAAAATCACCAGTACGAGGCTGAAAATGACCACGGAGATGTGCAAAAAAGATCAGAGTGAGAAAAGCAAATGGAAGACAGAGGGGCCATTATAAGATACATAAGAATTAATTTGAGCTTTGAATTATGCAAAGCTGCAAAGAACGTCCATCAAAGAAAATAAGAAAGCTGAAAATTAGCAGAAAAGATCCTCTTTAATACGCCTGGCTGAACACTCTGTCCACTGATAATAAAGAAGAAGAATTTTTCACCTCAATGTTTGGTTCAGTGCAAGAAACATAAAATTAAATAAAACTGGAAAAATAAATCTAAGATGAGGACGTCTGTGTCCTATTAATGAAAGGTCAAAATCTGGCTTTGCCGTCTTAAACGTGTTCCTTTCAGTTTAGCAGCAGTTCGCAGGTGAGACACAAACAGGTTTTTCTAAAAGTGAGAATCTGCTGCCCGAATGTTTTCATCGCTCACACACGAATCATTTGCATAGCCGAGGAAAACGTGCACCCTGGAGCCCTGCAGGGGATTTTATCTGACTGCGAACCAGTTCAAGTTTAGCTCCCATAGTTGTACTTTTATTATGTATTTGCCTTTATTGTATTTTATGTAACCTTATTTTTTTTACTTATTCAGTTTCAACATTTTTACTTTAGCGTGGCTTCATCTTTGATCCTGATTTTTTCTTAATTTTCTTTGATTTTCTCTGACTCTTATCGACCATTTCAATATTTTCCTTTTTGTTTTTTCTTTTTCTTTTAAGATTTATTATTGCTGGATATTATTTTTGCTTTATTACATCCTGTTATCAGCTTGTCAGTTCCTGTGTACTGCGTGTTCATCACTCAGCACAAAAGGAGCTATAAACTAAAGTCTAACTTATTGATTGGCCCGTTTAACCTGGTTTTTACACTGTAGGGTCATGTGAGCGTGCTCAGTACACGTGTCACGAACAAGCAGCGAGGCGACTCATTCACATCTACATGTGGTGTAATTAGATGAACTGTGCAGGACAAAAACTGAACATATTTATGTGTCAAATCTGCATAAAGAAGCTCTGCTCCCACTTAAAAGCAGCTTCCTGATTAGTCCTGTCATGTGTTAATTGGACCACAGCACACTAACAGATTGATTAATGATGTCGTAATGATCACATGTGACTGGGCTTATGCCAGATGATGTCATAAGCTGTTTTGAGACACATGACACAGATATATTATCTGATGCTGTCCATGGTCCTGAAACCAAATCCTGCTCCTGCCCTTAGATTTTCGTTTCAGAGCAGACGTCACACGATCGAACTCGATTCGTCTTCAGTGATCCCACCTGCCGATCTGCCTTTTCATTGGACAGAGATCAGCTGGTGCT